AGCCTCTCTGCCCCTCCTACCAGTCTGGATGGATGTGATTTCTTTAATTAGTTGTCAGACTTCCATTCAACTAGATTTCTGATGGTTATGAGTAATGGTTGTTCTATATTTTAGTCGTAATTTTGATGTGGTTGTGTGAGGAGATGAGCCATCCTTACCTATGCCACCATCATGACAGGTAGAAATAATACAAGTTATTTTTCAGATTCATAATTATCTTGTGGTTTTTGTTTCCAATTCTGAGGTTTTCTCAGTTTCTAAATTATGTCTTAATGAATAGAAATTTTTTATTTTGATGAAGTTAATTTAGCAATCTATTCTTTTATGATTATACGGCAGGCAGTTAGATAGTCATGAGCAGAGTAGAAATGATAGGCCAGGTGCAGAGGGTCACCAGCATGGAGATCCCTAGGTCCCTAACAATCAGCAAGAGTACAAGCCCATGTCTGACAACTCTCTTAAGTAATTAACCCCTGGAGATGACATCTAGGCCTCAGCCATGTTTCAGATCCAGGGCAAGAAAAGCAGCAAAACCAGATGGAGCAATGCCATGGCTGACATCAGAACCAGATGCAGTGACTAATGACCCTGCCCTCGGACTGACCAATCAATGGAGAGAGTGACCTTGAGAAGACACACCTGGAAGGCTGATGACTATTTTATTGAGATCCACCCTTGGTACCTCTAAACAAAACTCTCAGGACAAAAGACCCAATGTGGCTCTCTCCATGGAGCACACCTCGGCTTTCCTGCCCTTTCTATCCTTCCTCTCCTTTCCCCCACTCTCCCTTCTCCCCTTTCCTCCAGGTGTGTTTTCCTTGCTTGTATCTTTCCCCTAAGCTCCAAGGGCTCTACTTTTGCTTCTGTAACTTTTTTTTCTCTAAGCCCATTTATTTTATACCTTACTTCTTCTACCTCTGTGACCTTCTAAATAAACTTCCTCTTATAGTTTGAGTCTTGACTCTGGATCCTTAGCCAGAATTCAAGTTCCAAGGTTGTTGACTCCACCATCCTAACTCCAGTCTAACAAGGCCACCCACAGTTAGCGTTTTCTGGGTTCTAAGAAATAATTTGTTCATCCCAAATTGTGAACATCATCTCCTATGTTTTTTCTACAACAAGCTTTGTTATTTTAATATTCACATTTAATTTTGGGATAGATATCGAGGTTAATTTTTTGTTCCATATAGATTTTCACTGGTTCTAGCACCATTTTTTAAAAGAAGGATGTATTTTTAAAATAAATGGGGTCGAGATAACTGGATCACCACATGAAAAGAGAGAAAATTGCATTCATTTAAAAAACCGAACAAAAGGAGATTTAGTCTCATGAGACCCTAAATTAAAATTCTGACCATCGGAATTTTTTTTTTTGACTGGGCCCAGCAATGTTTAACAGTGGCTTTATTAGGTGAATGCTTGAATGTATTCAATCAGAATTTTGAGATAATGAATTTGTTATTTCCCCCCAGCTTTTTTTGAGATGTAATAGATATATCATTGTATAAGTGTAAGATATACAATGTGATAATTAGATACACTTATATATGTGAAATTACTATACTTATTAATGTTAGTTAACAAACACATCCTTTATTTTACATAATTACCATTTTGTTGTTGTTATGGTGAGAACATTAAAGCTCTACTCTGATAGCTACTTTCAAGCATGTGGTAACAGTATTGCTAACTATAGTTATTATGCACTATATTCAATCTCCAGAGTGGATTCATCTTATAACTAGAAGTTTGTACCTTCTAACTAACATCTCTCCTATCCCCCAGCCCCTGACAACTACCATCCCACACTGTGTTTCTATGAATTTGGCTGTTTTTAGATTCCACATATATAAATGAGATCATACAATTTTCGTCTTTCTCTGTCTGATATATTTCATTTAGTGTAGTGTCCTCAAGGTCCATCCTTGTTAGCACAAATTTTCTTCTTTTTTATGGCTGAGGAATACTCATTGTATGTACATACCAAATATTCCTTATCCATTCATATGTCATAGAAACTTAGGTTCTTTCCATGTCTCAGCTATTGTTAACAATGCTGTAATGAACATTGGGATGCAAATGTCTCTTTGAGTTAACCATCTCTTTCCCTTTGGATATATAGCTGCAAGTGGGATTGCTAGATCATATGGTATGATAGTTCTATTTTCAATTTTTTTAGGAACCTCCATATTGTTTTCCACAGTGGCTGCACCAGTTTACATTCCCACCAAAAGTGCACAAAAGTTCTTTCCTTCACATCCTTGACAGCACTTGTTATCTCTTCTCTTTTAGACAACAGCCATTCTAACAAGTGTGAGGTGACATCTCATTGTGGTTTTCATTTGCACTTTCCTGATGATTAATGATACTGAATAACTCATCAAAGATAATAAATTTGCATTATTTAATCAATATAAACATACACACAGACAGAAATACAAAAAGTTCCCAGGAGCATTAACTCCAAACTAATAAAACATGTTAAGGATGTCTATAAAATTAGGAAAATATGCTGAAATGCTTTTGTGATTATATTAAGCATATTTGTATAAGAATTGTGAGAAAAGTCTTTTCCTTGTTTTGTCTATTATGGTTATACTGTAGAGATTTTTTTTATGTAACCAAAAAATGCATAGTGAAAATGTGTAAGTATGCTTGCTATTTCTTCTCTAGACTCATCTCCACACAGATGTCTATAAATCAGAACCGTCATCTCCCATATACTTTGAATTCTCATAGATTATCCAACTCCTTGTCTCTGTGCTCTGATACCATTAGGTTCCTCAAAAAAAAAAAAATACAAAGAGGGTTTGTTAGGCAGAATTTTCCCACTGCAGAATTTTATACCATCTGTCTCTGACTCTTTATCTTGTGTCTTCTCTCTTAACTCATGGGGCTGGGGTCATGCCCTGACTTTCTCAGCTCTTAATCTGTCTCACCTAGCCTGTGTGGAAGGTTGCCACAGTTGTGAAATTTGTCCACAGGACAGTATCCAACACTCTCATCCAGTCCTTCAAGAACTCCTGAGATTTAGTTATCTTCTACCTGACTTGGATGATTGCAGCATAGACTGTTGAAGAGGTACGTTAGTGCAGTGTTTTTTAAGGTGTGGTTCCCCAGGGTATTGTTCTTCTGGGAATTTATTAGAAATACAAATTCTTGAGTGCCACTCCAGATCTGTTGAATAAGAAACTCTGAGGGTGGTACCCAGCAATTCGTGTTTTACTAAGCTCCCCAGGAGACTCTGGTGTATGCTAAAATTTGTGAAGCAAGCTTAGCTTGGTCTGCCTCCTCATCCTTAGCCTCAGTTAAAAGCAGTCTTCAGACCTCAGAGGTCAGCTTTCTAGGGATACATATTTATATTAAATATTAAAAATTTCCCTCTATATAATTTGACATGGCTGATAGAATTAGTGTGACATAATACTTAGGAAGATGAGAAAATTGGGACAAAGACAAATCAGTAACAAATCTGGAAACTATTACTACACAGAAATCATCCAGTAAACTGTATAGAAGACAAAGGAAAAGAGGGGAAAGTGACTTAGTATTTAAGAGCTGCCAAAGAAAACATGATCATCTCAAGTGTTCCAGGGGTCACAAGATAACAACCTGGCAGTATAGACAGGCATATAGCTCTTTCTGGTGTTGGGAACTGAGAGATTCCTTTCCCAGCTCTTCATATAGAGACTTCAGTATGTAGCATCTTCCTCAATTCCCAGAGACAAGCTGTGGGGAGCCATCTCTTGCACCATTTCTTAATTTAACTGATGGCGTAAACCCTAAACTTTATGTAAATGCATTACTTGAGAGATATTGTTCAGGGGTGTGTTTAAGAGTTTCAGTTTGTTGTATGCCTTTCTAACGATATGATTTAATCCAAAGATAAATTGCTGAGTGTCCAGCTCTAGTCTTTTCAACATTTTAAACATGCATCTTATCACCCAGTAAATTCAATTTGTATTTCTAGATGTTAGTATTAAAAATGACACTTCATTTTCCAAATATAGAAGTATATTATTAAATGAAATATGGCTCTACAAGTCAGGCTTGACCCTTGTCTTAGTCTGGCAAGTCATACTCACTTTCTCCTTGGATTATCACTGATCTGGAGACATGGAAGAAGTAGATACTTTTTAAGACATATTCCGGAAATGTTATTTTATTTGTGGCTCTAAAATTTGTGGCCCCAAGGATTTTAGAGAGCAAGGAGTCTATCCCTAGATAAGGGCAGCCTGGATCTTTAACTCAGCCAGACCCTGGAGGCCCCTAGGGTAAGGACATCAAAGCAGGCCTAGCCATCAAGAAGAAAGAAAGGGAAGAACGACCTTCTGTGGGTGATAGAATCCCCAAACTGATAGAATCCCCAAACGGAAGGGCCTGGTTCTTAACAAAAGGAATCCAGATTGACAGTACTAAGGATTTGCAAATCTTAGCACTTAGGGTTGCTTGTCCCTTCCCTCAGGCTCAGCAAGATCTCAATTCATATTTTGGTGTAGTAGGGAGGGCATACATATTCTAGAGCACTGGAAGGCAGGGGACAGGGATGAATTTGCTAACACAAAATGTTGGAGGTCTCCACATCAACAAAAGGTGGGAGGGAAGCATATGTCAGTTCCAAGGCTAAGTCTACTAATAACTTTTCTGTGCCAGGAGGTGGAGTTGACACATTTGACCTAGGTCAAGCAACACGTGTTACTCCCCACGGCTGGTTAGAGGTGGGGTCAGCTTCTGAGCTACGGTCGTGGTTTGGGCAGAGCAAAGACCTGAGCCAGGTGGCAGAGAAACAAAGTGTGGAAAAGAGTGGGCGAATTGGGGGCGAAGCCTTGGAAAAGCTGGGGAGAGGGCAGGGGCGGGGCCAGATGTGGGCGGAGGCTCGAGTCACGCGACAGAGGCGCGGAGTCTCCGCCAGTGGGGTTCGCGCATGCGCACGGACGTCCCGGGGGCCGGGCTGCGCGCGCGCGCTCCCGCTTTAGGCTCGGGAGGGCGGAGTCCCAGCAGGGGCCGGCAGTGGGCGGGGGTGCGCTGGCTTTGGAGTCAGACACTCCTTCTGGCCACTGGCATTATGTTGGCTGCTGCGGATCGGGCCCCAAGGCTGGCGAGGATGTGACAGGGGGTCCTTCCCCTTACCTGCGGTGCTGGGGCCCGTAGGTCGCTGGGCGAACCGCAGGTGGGCCGCGGACGTGTGGGAAGAACGCGACCGCACGGTAAGAGCCAGGGTCGGGGCGGGACGTGGGGAGCGTCTGCGACTGATTGGGCAGGGGGCGCGGTCGGGGTGTTCAGGCCCAGGTGCCTGAGATGAGGTGCCCTTCCGCCTCCTGCCCTCTGGGGTGACCCTCTGGAGTCCCCAGCGGGCTTTCTGTGGCGAGACAGGGGTGACCACGAGAGGTAGACGTCCCCCGCCCCCAGCCCCGCGGGCCGTGACAGGAGCGCCTGGGGCCTCGGCCTGTGGGGCTGCCGCCTTTCCCTCGGGAGAAAGCAGGGCGAGGCTGAGATGCCCAGTGATTTCAGAGTCAGGATGCTGTGAGGTTTGATAGGGGGAAGTGGGGTGCCCCAATGACTGCTTTTTTTTGGCGGGGGAGGGTGGTTATTACTGGGCCACAACAAAGACACACCCTAAACACATCCTGAGATGAAACTTTGGCAAACTACGCCGCTTCCATAGATCCAGGTGCTTCTTATGTCTTCTTCTTAGACATCTGCGGTTTTTATAGTACATATATATTATGCATACCTACTTTTTTTTTGTCAAAGTAAAAGGAAGAATGACTTCTTTAAGGCAGTCGTTGGCAGCTAAGCTTGAGTTTGAATTTCAATAATTGCAAATTCATCTTTGTATGCTACCCAGCCAATTAGGCTTGCTGTTCCAAGACTAGGCCTTAGCACTGTGGTAATTACTGGTGCAGGGGGCAGTCTTTAGTGGTCCCAGATTGGCATATGCATATTTCACTCCCATTGGTGAAGTATATTGAGTTTTAGGCTTCCCCAAATAGCCTTTTGAAGGAATTTTCTTCTTTTTTCCTGAGCACTAAAATATAATGAACCTATTAATTTTGCCATTAAAAAATCTCTTAGGCTAGTTTAAAGAAATTAGTGATGATAGCTCTTCTTTAACCAAAGGAATTTAAAATATCCTCCTCTTGCAAAAGATAGGCACAAAACATGTCTTATCAGAAATCAAAATGTGGTAAGGATTTAAACATTTATTGATGTTTTTCCTGGAGTCAGTCTTCTCAGATGTTATTACTGTGCGCCTCTCTTAATTTATTATGTAGATCTTTAGAATTTTCTTATTTGGTTGTTTTCTTTAGTGTTCTCAACAAAATTGACTTCAAATAATCCTTAAATTAAAAAAGAAACACGATCTTGAATCTTTTACTTGTAATTTTACTTGTGCATTGTATTAATATGCGATAGTAAGAAACTGCTGGAAGCCATCCTGAGAGCATGAACTCTCCATTTAAATAAACACAGTTTATTCTGTCTTTCTGCATCCAGACCTTCATTTTTTTGTTTGTTTCCTTGACTCAAATCCTTTGACTGTAGGTGGAAGATAGGAGTTTAGTTCCACGTTTAAAAGTCCATTAGTGACTCTCCATAAGTGGTATTTGATAAAAGTCCAAGTCCTTCACAGTTGTGGTACTAGCGTATGTTTTTAATTTCACTTTCTACCACATTGCCTGCCTTCTTCATACAAAGACTACATAGAAGTTTCTGAAAATGACATCTTTCCTTGTGGTTTTACACTGTACTCTGTTGAGAATTCTTCTTTACCTAGTAAACAACTTGCCTTTCAAGACCTAATCAAAATATCATCTCTGAATCTTGTCCAGACACCCTATCCCACTTGTCTTGACTGATCCAATAGTATATTGTACATTATACAGTAAGCATTTGTCAGTTAGTAGTTAATGATTTGCTTGTTTGTCTCCACCAGACTTTTGGGCTTCTTAAGGAAAGCGACCTTTGCACATACTGTTGTGTGTGTGAGTGGCACAGGTGCTCAAAATCTATTTATTGAATGCATTTTTGAGGATTGCTTTCAGTCTTGACCATAACTTTAAGATAGGCAATATGTGTTAGTTACTTCTCTCAATACCAGAAAATTTAGAAAAGATGAATGCACAAACAAGGTACTTTTAAATTTTCAAGAATGAAGTCAAAATTATTGTTCCTAGTTAGGAAGGAAACCCCAGTTATGACAGAAGAAACCAGTGTGTTGTGTAACACAAGAACAAAAGGGTATGGTCAGTAAGGATTACTACTTCTTTGATTTTAGGACATTGAGGCAAAGTAGTTTACCCAAGATCATGTCACTATATAGAAAGAAACAGGCCTAGCTGGGACACAGTCCAGGCGTTTGACCATCTGTGTATTTTACCTTTGCCCCCAGTTTCCTAATTCTAAGTCTTAATAATTGTTTTATAATCTGAGTAGGGAATTTTGCGTGGGCAGTTTTAATTCTATTAAATTAGTAGAATATTGAACTTGAAAGAATTAATAGATTATTTGGCTCATCTTTAACAATTTTACCCATTAAACAACTAAAACCCGAAAGGGCCAGTTACTTGAGGTTAGAATCACCTGTATCTCACATGTCCTGACCTCATGAACATGAGCATGAGTATGCTTGTGTAGTTTTCATTACTCTGTGGTGCTTTTGGGAGAAAATGAGAAAGTTTTCAGAGGCAGAGCAAATCAGCTTACAAGTTTTTCCTCTTTGAATGCTTAGCCTTTTAGTGGCTAAGAAACATGATAATTCATTTGGGGATATAGGAGAAATTTAAGCTTTACTATTCCATTTGGTCTGATAGTTTTTAACCTCAGTGCTTGAGGCCCTCTTTCCAAATGCCCCACAGCAAATGGCTTCTGCTCACCATATGTAGATCATGCATACAGTTAGGTTTTGGTGGTAAAATGAGATTTTAAAATAACAAAGTTCCAGCTGGCTAATAGCATGGCTAAAATTACATTTATGGCTGCTTTGTATGTGAGAAGAGCCTATCTGATTACTCTGTGATAGGTTTTTTTGGGGAAAAATTGTGATTTTCTAAAAAGTCAATTTTAAAATATATACTTACTGTGGTGGGCCTGATCAATTCCAACAGGGCTTTTATTTTACAAACAACTTAATAATCAAAGAAATAAGAAAAAATCAGACTTTTAATTTTTTCTTATTTATTTTTCACCTTATGATTTTATACTATAATCTGAGCATAAATGTAATGCTTAATAATTGCTTTCATAGTTAATGTTTTCTTTTTACTAAAGTTTTTGTACATTTAAATTATATTATGAGTTGAGTTTCTTATTTTTAAAAATTGGACATCTAAGTTGTCTCTCATTAACTGCAAGTAATGTAGTTAATACATAGCTGTCCTTCCTTTTGCTTCTTTCCTTTAGGCTAAAGTTTTAGGAGAGGGATTACAAGATCAGAGGGTATGAAGGTTTTTGTCACTTTTGAAAAATATTGCCAGACTGGTTTCTGAAAGGTTGTATTGATTTGTACTGCCTCCTGCAGTTTGGTTGACAGTTTTATCATGCTTTTATAGGCTTTTGCTTTTTAAAAATGAGTATAAGGATACCTGCTGTCTAACATATTGTCTACAGTAGAAAAGCAAATGCAGTATTTTCCTAGTTTTATTTTCCCCATTGTTGGAATTGTTTGTGCTTTGTGCATATGTTTGCTAGGATCTTCTTACTAATTTCCATTAGTACTTAATATCAGAAATACATTAATCCCTTGAAATATGTTTCTGATTTGTTTTGTTTTTGTTGTGTTTATTGTTGTAGACTGTAGTTTTCAAAATTGTTAAAATCGTTGACTTAAACAAAATTTTGTAATTTCATCTTTTGATTGTGAGGTCTGTATAGACTGACTGACTGTCCATCATCTGATGCACACTTATTTTTGTAAGTGTCTAGAATTTGCTTTGTTATATTTATATATCTTAGGAAATTATATATGCAGTTGAGACTGAATTTAATTCATGTGGATTTTATACTGTAGAGAATCACATTCTTAAATATCTAACTGACTTTCCATTGGTAAGATACGGTTTTTCTTCCTGAATTTGAATAGGAAATCAAACAATACTAACATAGTTATTTTTTAAATAAATGGGTACTTGTTTTTTTAATAAATTATAATGAAGTTAGACAAACCAAAATTTTCATAAAAGCAGTATTTTCGTTAATTGAAGTTTTTGTTGGTTCAGGATTAACCAGAAGGCCATTTATGATTTAACTCTTACTATTAATCATTCTAAAATACATGAAAGTAAGACCTTGATTATTTGCTTCCTTTGGGAAGTAAAACATTCTAGATAGACGAGAAATCCCAGGGTAATAGTTAATATTGATTGAGTGCTCAGTACTGTGCTGGTGTTTGGCTTGGGCCTTCTTATTTTTGATAACAACCCCGAGAGGGAGGTTCTTTTCGTGTCCCCATTTTGCAAATGGGAAAACTTAGGAAGAGTGATGCTCCAAAGGTAACAGCTGGTAAGCAGTGAAATTGGAACTTTGTCTTCCTACTTTTAAAAGGCTCTATTTGAAAAAATATATATTATATAAGCTTATTTTTTTGTGCTAAGGATTTGAACTTTTTCTGTTAGGCATAGGAATGATAACAGATGTTTCAAAGCAAGGGGATGATGTGGTATGTTATGTCTTTTAGGGAGATGGCTGGTGCAACAGTGTGGAAATATATTAAATTGCGTTTCTGATAGAAAGTGGTTCTAATAAGTCATATGAGAAATCAAGTCTGAACTGCAAGGTAGTTTTGGAGATCAGGGGATGTGATGGAAAGATGTGGTACTTAGTAACTGACTTTCAAGAGAGTGGGAAGCTGAAGTGTTGATTTGGAAAATATCAAATAGGGTAATGACAAATAAATATGTGCTCACAGCCCTTTATTTTGTTTCTTTCATAGCATTGACTGGTGTACTGTACCCAAGCTAGTGACTCGTCTACCTCCAGCACAGGATTGTGCGCTTGTCAAGGATGGGACTGAGTAGAAGGTGTGAGCTCATACAGGATGAGCTAATACAAGAAGAGGGCAAGAGACTGAACTGCCTGTGGGAATTACTAGATCAGCAGAATGAGAGAGTGGATGGAGGAAGAGGAGCTGTAGAAAGTGAAGGCTGTCAGGGAGGTGGTAGGGGAGAGCCATTAGTGTCAGATCCGGAGAGTAGTGCTAAGGAGGAGG